TGTATCCTGCAAACCGCTGAAGCCACATACCAAGAGACTAGGACCGAGACTACAGCCTTCTTTACTTACATTTCTGAGCACTGAGAACTCTTAAGAGACAGCTGCCGGCTGCCAGGGCGTGCTCCTCCACCACCTTTGCAAAGGCTCAGGGGAGACTGCGTGCCAGCGCCTGAGAGCCCAGCACCTGTTCACACTCAAAACCGAGTCTCCAGGCTACCCAGCGGCTTAGGGATCACCTTTATTAAACAGAAGGGTTTTGGGAAACGTGCCTGTTTGGGCTAAGAATTATCTGCAGGAGTCTAATAGCAACACCGGATACAGCTGTGTGTGACTAAGCCGCGCGCGCTGAATCAGTACCCTCCGAGCATTATGTGCCCCGACATCTGTTTCCTGTTTTCATTCTTCTCTTTATCATTCTCTCCTGACTTCCTCCCACCTGTAGGCCACCTAAGACAACCACAATTAAGCAAGTCTTGTGTCTGGCTGTTTCTTTCCGCCCGCAACGTCGGGTGGCTTAGTCACTCCATGTGGAGGAGTGGGAGAGGGGAACCCAAGGGCCCTCCAAAGCCCATCGAGGCTGCACGGCTGTCCATGCAGTCACCTGTAGGTGACCCACTTCCTCCCGTCTCCCATTGAAAACTTTTCCTGGTGAGGCAGTACCAGCCCTCCGCCAAGTGCGATTGCGAACTGAATCACAGAAGGGAAACCGCAGGCTGCACAAATAAGGCAGTTACTCGGCCACTGCAGAGCCAGCTCCCGCACACAGGACATGCCTTCCACACTTCCTGCCCGGACCCCGAACACAGTGGGTTTAAATGCAAGGGAGCTCGTTTCTTATTTAATTGTCAAAGGGTGTACACGCTAGACAGAGGAAGACAGAGAAAGAGAGGGAGAGGGAGAAAGCACCCGCAGTGGGGAATGGGCCCGCCCCAGGGCCTTCTCTTCCATTCCTCCATCCCGCTGGGATCTGGGCATGCACACCCAACCGCCCCAGGGCCTTCTCTTCCATTCCTCCATTCCGCTGGGATTTGGGCATGCACACACATGCCTCCAGCTTGTTTCTCAAGCTACCGAGCTGTGACCCGAACCGGGGTCGGCCATGTGGGATCAACTCCCTTAAGCATGAGGCTACAGTCCAGGCCAACCCTTAAGAAAGTCCATTTCTATGCAAATATTAGGTTGTCGGAGAGTCATGACAAAATCTTTCTGTTTTTCTATGCAAAAATACATCATGACTTTCCGGACTAACCAATAGTTGAGGTCAAAGTTTCCCCAGCCCAAGGATAAAGGTAAATGCCAATATCACGCAGGTATTACAAACCGAGAGACTTTAGGGGTCACTGACACAACTCTCGGACTTTACGGCTTGTCCTGTTTTACAGTTAAGAAAGGTTAAGTGACTTGTCTAGTGAATTCCATTGCAACGTGGTTTTAGAATAAGAGCAAAGTCTAAACATCCCAACAGAAAGAATTCAGGGAAGAAAAGGTCTCTTTAGAATATATTACTAGGTTGTCAGGAAAGTGATGAATTTTTGCATAGAAAAATACAGAAAATGTCACGACTTTTTTGATAACCCAATACATGTCATAAGCGGGTTCATAATTTATCTCCTTTAGATAAAACAAACTAAACTAACAGTGAGTTAGTGGGAAGTAAACCTGACCGCTGGGATGTAGGTTGGGGACACCAAGGAAGAGTTAGTGGGAAGTAAACCTGACCGCTGGGAAGTAGGTTAGGGGGACACCAAGGAGAGAACATGTATTTTTGCTTTTTGCTTTTTACTCTTCAGTATTACATAATTTTTCAAACATGATTTACTTTTATAACAATAGAAATTTGAGGAAGGGGATTTTCTCAGCAGTGATTAAAAAGAATTCCACTCCTGACTCTCTATGGCTCAATGTAAGGGTTACTGAAAACACATTCCTAGAACCGGTAGGTGGTGTCAAGGGGGCTGGATTCCACATGGTAGAGTGTACAGTTCAAGTCCTTGACCCAACAGCTGGAAAAACATGCCGGGGACGTACGTGCACGCCCAAAATTCAGAATGGAGAAATGGAGAAGGGACTGTGGCAGGCCCGTCTCCCTCGGAGATGCTCACTTCCTGTCTCTGTCCTTGGCATTCTTCTTCGCGACCTTGTTGGTCTGCTATCACCTCTCTTCCTCCATACGTCATATTCAAGTATAACTTTTTGGAGCCAGCAGGTAGTGTGGTGGTTAAGGTGCTGGATTCGTACATGGTCAACTGCAATTCAAGGCCTGGACCTGGTAGCTCGCTCTCTCTCTCTCTGGTAAGCATACATGCCCTATAGCAAAATTTAAATAATAATAAAATTAAATAAACCCTTTAATTAAAAAAATTAAAAACATTTTAAAAAGAAAAACAAAACAAATATAACTTTTCAAATATCCAACATCAAAAGTGAAAGATGGCCGGGACCAGCAGTTGGCATAATGGCTGTCTCTGAATTCCCATGTAGTCGACCACAGTTCGAGTCCTGGACCCGGTGGCTTAAACTCACGCCGGGCGGGCACATGTGCGTGCGTGCCCAAGATCCCAAGGAGAATGCAGAAGGGATTGCGGTGTGGCTATCCCCCCCAGGGGGTGATTTCTCGTTTTCTGTCTCTCTGTCTCTCTCTGGTGAGTGCACATGCCCTATAGCAAAAACCTCTCAAAAAAAAAAAAAAGTGAAAGATAGCTTCACTGTCAAATGTTTAGAAAGAGCAGACACAGAAAAATGTAATGCCTCCCTGAGATCATTTCCAATGCTTTGATATCATTCTCCTTCAAAAATATTTTACACACCAAGACTGATGAATTAACCATCACCCACCTTGCTGGACCCAACTCCCAGAAGACATATAAATTAACAAGTTCTGCACTTTTCCCGTTTACCTGATGTAAGTCAGCCAACTGCAAAGTTCGGGCTTGGTCAATACCAAAACTGGTTGTCGTTAACTCCCTTGCTGGCTGTCCTCCATCCCCTTAACCCACAGTGGCATCGTGGTAACAGAATTTTTCAGCTAAGGACTCAGGATCCTTTCAGCACAGGACTGTATTCAAGACCTGGAAAATGGGGACCCGCCTGTCTGTGAGGCAACATTAGGGATATTCCTTAGGAAAATCTGACTTCTCCCTATTTGGGTCACGAACATGAGTGTGTCACTCCAGGAAAAGGCTTCGCTCTGAAGCTCTGTGGAGCACAGCTAGCAACTAGCCCTGGACTGATCCCAGTGCTGTGAGAGAAAAACCACCTCACTCAAGCACTGAGATCTGGGGTTTGGGGTTTCTATCAGTGGAGTCAAAACTAATCCTAACACACCAACTCTGTTTGCTGGAGTCTCTAAAACTAAACTTTTTCCTTTAGGTTTCTGCCATAGGGTGCACATGCACTAGCCAGAGAGTGCCAGAGAGGAGGTGAGAAACCCACCCCTAGCCCCGGGGTGGGGAGGCACACTGCAACCCCTTCTCCTCCATTCTCCTCTTGGGATTTTGGGGACACATGCTGAGCACGTGATTTTCAAGCCACCTGGTCTAGGACTCTGACCATGGTGGGCCATGTGGGAGTCCAGAACTTAACCACCACGCCACCTGCTGGCTCCAAATAAAAATGTCCTAAGGTGGTGAATTCCCACTTTTTCTGTGTCTCTGTCTCTCCCATGAGCGCACATATAGCAAAAATCTCTCTAAAAGTAGAAAAGTTGTGCCCACCCTCTGAAACCATAGGCCATCACAGAAGATGGTTCTTTTCTTAACTTTTTTTACCTTTTTATTATAGGGCGCGTGCACCCACTAGAGAGAGAGAGACAGAGAGACAGAAAGCGAGAAATCACCCCCCAGGGGGGATGGCCATGCTGCAATCCCTTCTCCTCCATTCTCCTCTCAGGATCTTGGGCACGCACGCACATGCACCCGTCGTGAGTTTGAGCCACCAGGTCTGGGACTCGAACTGCAATCAACTACATGGGAGTCCAGAGACATAGCCATTACGCTATGCTGGTCCCCAGAAGATGGTTCTAAGCATGGTTCTCGTGATTCTAGTTCTAAGGAATGGTATATACGGTCAAACTATACAAGCCTGAATAAAACTGACACGTAGCTCAGCATATTAATTACCATATAAGTAAAACTCAGGTGGGCAGTATCTGAGGTAGAAGAGTTAACAAAACAAAATGCTGCATTGTTTAGGATTTTTTAATTTTTTATTTTAAGAAAATAACCAAGAACCATTGTATATCTACTGTGGAAGAATTATCATGAATTATTTGAGATCAATCTTTTTGTTAACTTGCCAGAGGGCGCACGTGTTCATCAGAAAGAGACGGAGAGAAAGAAAAAGCACCCCTCCATGGAGCATGGACACAGAGCAAGCCCTTCTCCACTGCTCCCTCCTTTGGGATTTTGGCCATGCATGCACACATAAATGCACACGCACCTGGCACGTACTTGGCATCTTCCTCAAGCCACCAGTCCAGGACTCAAACCACACAGTTGGTCACGTGGAACCCAGCCACCTCAACCATGTCACCCACTCGTGGGCTCTAAGACCAACCTTCAATCACTCCCAGTAAATTAAGCTCTCATGTCATTGGACACAACCTATCTTTGAAAAGTTAAATATGTCTCCTCACTGCTAAGTCTTTTATATTCACTGAGTGTGATATTCACATTGCCAAGACCAGTGGACAGCCCAGTAATGGTACACTGCTGGACTCCCACACAGCTGACTGCAGTTCGAGTCCCAGACCTGGCAGCTTAAAACTCATGCCAGGGTGGGTGTGCATGCTTGCTCAAAAATCCCAAGAGGAGAATGGAGGAGAAAGGGCTGCAGCATGACCATTCCCCCTGGGGGTGATTTCTCTCTTTCTGTCTCTCTGGTAAAGGCACATGCCCTACAGCAAAAATCTCTAAAAAACAAAAAAAAAATTCACATTACTAATTGATGTTATGGCTTATATAATCTTATTTCAAAGTCATTTGAACTAACTGAATGACAAAGATCTCCAATGTCTATGAGCAAAGTAAAATTATATCAAGGAGAATATTTATGTACCTCAAAAAAAACCTGCAGTGGCTTGATCATGACTGTCTACTCTTATCAGAGTGGAGAAAATAAATCCAGCTGACATTTTTGTTCCTCTAAACTTCAATGATGCTAGCTAACACACCACATAGAAGCTGTTCACCTGCCTTAAGCCTTAAGCCCACATCCTTGCTCTCATTCTTCCCAAATTGAGCTTAGCATCGGAACACTGGGTCACAAGGGCTTCTCTGAGGCTCCTGACCGAGAGAGGTCACCAGCTCACCAGCTCACAAGTCGCTGAGCAGGCCTGGAGTCAGTCCCACCAGCTCACCAGCTCTTACGGCTGAGCAGGCCTGGAGTCAGTCCCACCAGCTTGCACTGGCCTTCTGGTTGGCAGCAGGACAGGACATGGGCTGAGTGACAAGACCAGGAAGGACAGACTAGAAGTACCCTAATATAGTTACAGCTGTCCTTCCACGGCTCACTGGGACACTTGCATCTTTGAGATGGAACCCACAGACCCATTTTCTCTCTGCAGTCCTTGCTTCTTACAGTTTTAATTTGACATAAACATGACAAAGAGATACAAATACACCAAAAACTAACATCGCCATCGTTAGGAAAGTGCAATGAGAAATGTGTTTCAGTCCCTTTTCTGGTACTTTGAAACTCCGCTTTCTTGCAAGAGAATTCATGAGCTATAGTACTTAAGGAGATTCTCATCAGTAGGTTTGAGGATTTTCTTATCTGTCATATTCACCACCCATCCTGGAGCAAGACCAAAGAAAATCTGCCTTGGATCCTTCCGAGTACTGAGCATCTTGAAGAGTTCATCCTTAGTGATATCTGGCAAAATGTAACCGTACTTCCTGGCGAGCTCCAGTCTAGCTTCAGGAAATTTGGCAGGATCCGCCAGGTAGCCACGATTCTTAGCATCGGTGTAGTATGGTACCAGTGCTTCAGGCGGAAGCATCCGCTTGGGGATGGGCTGTCCACGCAGGAAGAATGGAACAGGCTTGCATAGAATTTCTAAAACAAAAAAGTGAAAATTAAATAAAAACAGATGTGAATACCAGCTCTATTCATAACAACAATTTACGCATTTTAATTAGTAATTTTTTTTTAGAGGTTTTTGCTATAGGGTGCGTGTGCTCGCCAGAGAGACAGAAAGTAAGAAATCACCCCCAGTGGGGATGGCCACGCCACAATCCCTTTTCCTCCATTCTCCTCAGGATCTTGGGCACACACGCACATACGCCCGGCGTGAGTTTAAGCCACCGGGTCCAGGATTCAAACTGCAGTCAACTACATAAGAGTCCAGCAACATAGCCATTACACCAACTTCTGGTCCCGTTAATTATTAATTTTCAAGTATGAGTGAAATGAGAACTTAAGTCCAAGAACTTTTTTTTTTGAGAGAGATTTTTGCTATAGGGCATGTGAGCACGCCAGAGAAACAGAGACACAGACAGCAAGAAATCTCCCACTTCCCCTCCCTGCTCCCATGGGGATGGCCATGCCACAATCCCTTCTCCTCCATCTCTTCTTAGGATTTTGGGCATGCACACAAGTGCACTTGGCATAAATTTCAAACTGCCAAGTCCAGGACTCAAAGTGCAGTTGATCATGTGAGAGTCTGACACCTTAACCACACACCACCTGCTACCCTAGTCCAAGAAATTTTAATTAAGTAGGCTTGTCTTAAATAAGGAGATAGAAACACCTCTTTTTTTTTTTTTTTTTTTTTTTTTAGGTTTTTGTTAGTTTTTTTTAGGCCATGTGTGCTCACCAGAGGAGAGAGACAGAGAGATTCAGAGAGAGAAAATGAGAAATCACCCCCCAGGGGGCATGGACACCAGCAATCCCTTCTCCTCTGGAGATTCTGGGCACGCTCACATGCCTGGAGTGATTTTCAAGCCACTGGGTCTGAGACTCAAACCATAGTCAGCAATGTGAGGGTCCAGCACCTTAACCATCAGGCCACCTGCTGGCCCCCTGCCTCCTTTTCAACAGTGTCCATATCCAAGACCAAAATTACTCGCAAGCTACCTATAATCAGTGGATTTCTAAACATAGATAACACTATATTTAAGCCCTATCTTTAAAAACACAAAATAAACATTTTTATGAAATACTGTCTATGGGGTGTCAGAACAGGCCAAACCATCCATCAGAAACCCTAAAACAAAACCGAGGTGTCCAAAATGCAAACAAATATATTATCACCGGTCTTACACCTTAAGCTCGCTCTTACTCCTGCTCTTACTATTCTTCCCAACTTGAGGGTTAGCATCTCAACACTGGGTCGCCAGGGCTTCCCCAGGCCCCTAAGAGACCGCCGGCTCACCAGCACCGGTACCAGCAGCTCACCAGTACCGGCAGCTCACCAGCACCCGCACCCGCACCAGCTCCAGCTCTGAACTCGGCCGAGCAGGCGGAGGGTCAGTCCCACTCAGTGTGCACATGCCTCCTGATCTGCAGCAGGACCAAGACACGGGCTGAACGACAAGGTCACAAAGACAGGCTAGAAGTACCCTCAACTAGTTACGACCTTCCTTCCCCATCCCCCAGCACATCCGCATCTTTGAGACAAGATCCCACAGACTCATTTTCTCTATGCGGTCCTTGCTTCTTGCAGTTTTAATTTTAGATAAACATGAAAAAGATATGAACACACCAAAAACTAACATCGCCATCTGGAGAATTAAGAAATTAAGAAATTAATTACAAACTAAGAAAACGCAATGAGAAATGCAGGCCAAACCACAAATGCGAAGCCCTAAGACAGAAAGCTGAGGTATCCAAACGGCAAGCCAAAGATCCATGAAGAGTTTTAAATCTTCATACGGGAGTCGGGTGGCGGTACAGTGGTAATGCAAGTGGACTCACATGGTACAGGTCCTGGGTTCACATCCCGGGACCTCTCTGAGCATGCTGGGTACACACACATACTAACATACAATCCTACATGTCTCCTATGACAGCAATTCAACACTGGGGGCTCTTGACTCATCAAGAAGTTTTCTTCAAAACACACATAAAAAGTGGGACCAGCAGTTAAAGTAATGGCTATGTCACTAGACACCCATGTAGTCACTGTGGTTCGAGTCCCGGACCCGGTGGCTTAAACTAACACCAGGCATGTGTATGTGCATGGCCAAGATTCCAAGAGGAGAAGGGATTGCAGCATGGCCATCCTCCTGGGGGGTGATTTCTCGCTTTCTGTCTCTCTGTCTGTCTCTGTCTGTCTGGCGAGTGCACGCGCCCTATGGCAAAAACCTCTCCAAAAAAGAAAAGAAAATTAAAAACACACATTAAAAAAGAGGTTTATAAAACACTTTAGAGGAGCTATCATCTATAAAAAAATTTTTAAGACAACTACACATGGGCCAGCAGGAGGCATGGGGGTTAAGGAGCTGAACTATGGCATGGCCAACTACAGTTCAAGTCCTGGACCTGGCAGCTTGCTTTGTCACATTCCCTCTCTCTCTCTCTCTCTGTCTCTCCCTGGTGAGCAGACATGTCCTATAACAAATTAAAAAATAATAATGATAAATAAAATTAAGTAATTCTTTAAAATAAAG